ACTTGCAATGTGTGGAAAAATGAAAGTGTAACATGCCTGTGATTTAAAATTTACCTGTTGTATTTTAGTGATTTAAACATCAAATTGTTTAAAATTAAATATAGAAAAAGCAATTTTTCAGGTTTATACATTTAAATTTTTAAAAATTTACATTATTTCTATGAAAAAATTCGGTTAATTGTGGGTTAAAATCGGTTGAAATTTTTACATATTTAAAAAACAAAGATATTACAAATCTGAGAAATCTATATAAGACAGCATTAAAGGAAACAGACGTTAAATAATTGATCAATAGATTATAAGAAATGTTCAATTTGAAATAAAACACATGCTTAAAGTTTATATGTTGGTCACTCTATTCTTACACAAATGACGATAGCGTTTGGCCAAGCCTATATTAAACCAATCATCACATGCCCTCTCAATATAAGTGAATGGGTTTAGAGCGTAAATCATTTGTGTTTAAAATAAATATGAATCACAACTTTCATTAAACCCCGACTCATATTAATGCACATTATATTTGACTAAAATACTATTTGGCCCCTAGATTGGCCCATAGCCTTTTGCTAGTTTAAATGATTTATGATTTTAATGTGTTATTTGTTCAACACATCAAACACACTGTAGGCAATTACACCAGCAATAGTAAATCTAATGTTTGAATATTTTAATTATAATCTACTGTTATACAGAATATAATAAGTATAATACAATATTGCAATAAACAACACCAAACAAACTATTTATAGATACATTAAATAATTAGACAATTTTACAAATTGATTGTAACAACAAATTGTTAGATCTATTAATTATCAGCTTTTAGTGCCAAACGTACTCTTAAGTACACTTTCAATCTGATTGATGGTGTCGTCGGTCTTAAGGAAACACATTCTCAACACAAACTCTGAGCCCGAGTTTTGGTCCAAATGGTACAACAGTTTTCCCGGAAGTGTCACCAAATTCTGCCACCATTTCAATGACAAGACAGTCAGACAATTCAAATAAAACAATTCAAACATCAATTTTATGCAAAATAGTCCATAAAAAGTAGTCAACCTTTTGGTGAATGAGCCAAAGGGACAATTGAAGGCCAAATCGGCGGTCCTTTTCGAGGGACAGATCAATCTTATGGACAACATTAATAAAGTCTGCGACAATAAAATAACCGGCGTTTGGTTTGACCACATCTATGCCCAACTCGTCAAACATTTTGATGAATCGGTCGCGTTTGGCCACAGACTCCCTGACCAGCCGTGAGAAGTAGGACTGGTTTGTGTTGAGCCGCTCCATCTCCACCTCCAAACCCATGGCAAAGGCTGTCTGTATGGGCGTCGGCACCGCCAACACCGCCGCCATCACTCCCACAGTCATGCCGTAGAGTAGCTCTTCGGGACCGACGGCCCAACCGATTCTCCATCCGGTGCTACTGAACGTCTTGCCGCCACTCATCACTGTTATCGTCCGTTTCCACATTCCCGGCAGACTTGCTGTCAATTTTTAGCATCAATTCATAAATATTTTATAAACTGCTCTTAAAATAGACTGTAATCAACAAATGGGTGATTATATGATTTACCAAATGTGATGTGCGGCTGACCCTCGAAGTGATAGTATTGGCCCACTTCGTCGGCCATTACAATCACGTCGTATCTCTCACACAACTGTCCGATAAATAGCAGTTCCTCTTCAGTGAACACCTGAATAAATGTTCAAAAGTTGTCAACAATTAACAGTTAAAAGCAGTGAACTTTAATATATCTACTTTGCCCGATGGATTATTGGGGTTGTTAAGCCAGATCATTTTAGTCCGATTATTAAACGCCGCCTCCAATTGTTTTCTATCAAATGACAGGTCATTTGATTGGCGCGGCTTTTGGCCGTTCAGTGTCTTCAGCGGTATATGAATGGGAACTCCGCCCACGAGTCGTATAATCGGCTCGTAATACATGAATCGGGGGCTAAAAAGTACGACTTCGTCGCCGGCGTTGACAAAAGCTCTGGCGGCGAAATCCAGGCTTTGAATGGCGCCTAATGTGACCAAAATCTCGCGGTCGGCGTCGATGTGCCGTCTCATTAGAGGCGCGTTGAGTTTGGCAATCGCCCGCCGGAGCCGCGCCTCACCCCTGGGGTGCGAGTATTGGTGTAATCGCCACGACGTGTGGTTTGCCGTCACTTCTCTCAAGGCGTCCAACATATGCTGCGGCGGATTGTAATCGGGGTAACCGTAGGACACATCTATGGCGTTGGATTGTACCGCCATATCCTCGTACTCGAGACTGGAGGTGTGTGATCAATGACCATGGGCAATAATCATAGACAATTATATTTGTATTATTAATGTCACTAATTGTCTGATAATAATGATTGTTAATATTTACAGAATGTCGGCATCGCTTATATTATACACATTTTGTGCCGTTTTGGGCGATCGTAAGTATTGTGAGCGATGGAAATGTTCATTCACTGAATTGTTGCTAATTATTAATTGAAAATTTATAAATATTAATAAAAATTTTATTAAGTTTTGAGTGGAATTTTTTGCCATATTTTATTTATTTTAATAAATTTTTAAATATAATCTAATGTATTAATTAATTAGTTTTGTTGTATAAAGTACATAGTTTTTAATTAACTTTTATTTACATATGATTTATTGTCTAACTTAATAGCGTATAAAATTATTTACAAAATATTTTTTAATGTTATGTTTCAAAGGGAGAATCCTTGTCCTCGTCGTCGACTTCTAAGGTATCAAATCTCTTGAGATGTGATTCTTTAGCCATATTTAGTAAATGATTGAACATATGTTTCCCAGTCTTGCGGCACATGTCATACAACTGTCCCTTTCGTTGCAGTAAAACAAACG